GGGGAGACCAGGAAGAAGCACCTGGCTCCTGACCATCGGGATCCAGGGCATTGCAACCGAGCCGCAGTGCGCCAGCCGCAGTGGCCATTAGGAGTGTGAACCATATGGCAAAGGAAGACCTTTTTCTCTGTCTCTCCCTCTCACTATCCACTCTGCCTGTCAAAAAAAAAAAAAAAAAAAAAAAGAAACTAGGTGAATGGTGATTCATTTATTAATATGGGAGCACTATAGAGCAGAGAAAATTGGGAGAATGATTCAGAGATTTTGGCTTGAATATATTACATTTAATCTACCAGCTCAAGTAATGTTGTGTGAAATAACACAGACACACACATGTGTACACTGTGTAGTTTGTTTGTTTGTTTTTGACAGGCAGAGTGGACCGTGAGAGAGAGAGAGACAGAGAGAAAAGTCTTCCTTTACCATTGGTTCACCCTCCAATGGCCGCTGCAGCCGGCGCACTTCGCTGATTCGAAGCCAGGAGCCAGGTGCTTCTCCTGGTCTCCCATGCAGGTGCAGGGCCCAAGGACCTGGGCCATCCTCCACTGCCTTCCCGGGCCACAGCAGAGAACTGGATTGGAAGAGGGGCAACCGGGACAGAATCTGGCACCCCAACCGGGACTAGAACCCAGGGTGCCGGCGCCACAGGCAGAGGATTAGCCTATTGAGCCGCGGTGCCGGCCACTGTGTAGTTTTTAAATATACAAAGTTGATAGGTGGTCAAGACTATTCTGGATAATGGAAGTCAGAATAGAGGTAATCTTTGGAAAGGGACTACCAACTGAACATAGATAGGAGACTTCTCGGGTACTGGAAATGTTTTATATCTTGACCTGATTGGTGGTTATATTGATGAATATATATATCTATATATCTATATATATATATATACACACATAAGATTTGTGACCACTATATATGGTATACTTTAATAAAACATTTAAAATGGAGGGACTTACTATCTTTCAAGTGGAGATATTATAAAGGCAGTTTGTGATGCAGGATTTTATAGTTTAGAGTAGAGGCTTTCACTGTAGAGATATGTCTATGTATATTTGGTGCTAGAATATGGATGTTTTTAAGCCATAGGATTACATGAAATCATGCAGGAAATAAATAGAAAAGAGATGTGTAAAAAGAATATAAATAGGACACTCAAACATTTAGAAGTAGGCATGTAGAGAGAGCTCCAGCAAAGGAAACAGAGATTCACTGGCTAGTGTAGTAGTAGAAAAACCAGGAGAGAATGACATCTCAGAGGTCATGAGATGTGAGTGTGCTGGGGAGGCAGCGATCCCAACTATAGAAAGAGCAAAAGATCAAATAAAATGAGATTTGAGAACTGAGAATTACAGTCCCCAAAACCTGACCTGATCCTATTCCAGAGTCTTCCATCTCAGCAAATGTAGTTGAGCAAACCAGGAAACTAGGGGGTCATCCTCAATAACTCTTTTCTTATTTTTTCTTTTTATTTGAGGCACATGGAAACAGAAAGGAAAGATCCCACACTCACCAAATGCCAATAATGGCCAAGGGCAGATGCTGTGAACTGGGAACTCAATCCTGGTCTCTCACTTCTACATGGCAGGAACCCAGATACTTAAGACATCCATCATCATCTATCACTGCGGCTTCCCAGTTTCTGCGTTAGCAGGAAAATGGAGTCAGAAGTTTAACATAGGCACTCTAATGTGGGATATGGGCATCCTAACTAACATCTTAACCAGTAGACCAAACGTGCACCCTCTTATTACTTTTCTACTTAATATACTGTCAAATCTTGTTACTAGTTTTATCTCTTACAGAGCTCTCAAATGCACTTACTTCTTTGTACATTAAGAGGTGAAGTAGACAAGGAATAATTAACCTATAGGTTTCCACATTTAGCAAATAAAGTTATAGAATAGCCAGTTAAATTTGGATTTAGATAAATAGCAAATGATTTTTAATGTAGATATGTCTCAAATGTTGCACATGGTTATACTATTATAGTGGACGTACTCATGCTGCAAAAACACTTGGTGTTTATTGGAAATTCAAATTTAACTGGTCATCCTGTATATTATTTAGCCAACTCTATTAACTTATGCAATGAGGGTGAGGAATGAGTAAGCAAATACACAGATCATAAAAAGGACTTTGTATTCCAGATTTTGGAGCTTCATTTTTAATTTGGGGTCAGTGGAATACCTTTAAAGAGTTTTAAGCAAATGATAGTAGATTTGCATGTTAAATATACAAGGAAGAGAATGAACTGCAGAGGGAGCTGGACTGAAAAGCAATTAAAATAATCTAAAGGAAAACATTTTGGTGCCATAGATCAAGATAGTGATGCTATAAATAAAGAAAAAGTTAAATATGAGATATTAAGTAAATATAATGGGTAAAGTTGACACATAGCAGGCACTATAAATACTATTGCTGTGGTTCAGGTCTGCAAAGTAAGGAAAAGGAAAGACTGAAGACTGAAGAGGAACCATAAAAGGGACCAGAGAGGAAGGGTGTGCCCTCTTGTTGAGTTGAGGTCCAGTGAGAGAAGACAGGAAGGGTTTGTATGATATCAGTGGGAGTTAAAGCTGGATTGCTTGGATTTGAAAGTTGGATGAGAGGGAGTAAAGGTAGTATTTGTTGACAGATCTTTGAAGAAACTTGCCTATGGACAACAGGTAGGCTGTAATGGGAGAGGGATATGGGGAATGGGAAAAGTTTTTGGTAAGATGAGCAAGGACTGAGTTTGTTTTCAATACTGATAGAAATGGAAAGCCTAACCATACAGGATAGTGGAAATAGTAGGATAATGAAGAATTTTAATCACATACGATTGAAAGGCAAGTACTTCTGTAAAAACCTGGAGCTCTTGAAGTAAAGATATTTTTAAATATATTTTCTTCTATATAAGGCAAGTCAGATTATTCAGCATAATTTTTTCTTCTTAAACCATTATAAAGATACAGTCATGAAGGTCAAGATTTTGATTTTGTTAAATTTGAATTTTATGTCCTCTATATGTATAGTAAATGACAGTTCAATGATTAGAGTATTAAACTATGCTTTCATTTATAGATAATGCTGCTTGTGAGGTTTTACTTGCTGAGAAAACATGCCCTTCATCCTCTGAAAAAGCAAAGAAAAAAGCAAGTATTGAAGAAGAATAACTACATGAATCATATACTTTAATAGTAAAGAATATACCTTTAATCAGTACTTTCACAAGAAGTATCTTTTCAACTATTTAAGTCCATAATTAAAAGCATTTTTGGAGTTTAGAAATTAGATCATTCAGTCTTGTAAAAAAGAATGAATACAGCATATACGTCAATATCTACTTGATATACTGTTAATGAAAGAGAATGAAAAATTTACATTTTTTCCAACTTCTGTTTGAGTAATTAGATATCTATTAGTCATTAAGTTAAGGTAAAAATAAGAATCACTGTGTAGCCAGAGTAGTGTCTTATGCAGAAGATTATTTCTGAATCAATATGTGAGGCTTGAAATCTGCAGAACTTTGGAGAAGAATTTGAACTTTTTTTTGTATTTAGCAGTAGTTGCTTTTGGATGGAATTTTCTTAATTATATCTTTTGTTTATATTGTTCTAGCAAACCAAGTAGTTAGTCTTTTGTTATCTATTTTATAGCTGAGAAAATGGAGATTTAGATTTTTACCAGTATTTTGAGGCACTTGTAGCAGGCCCTTCTGTATCTATAATTTGTATTAATTTTGTTGCAACACTCTGTCAATATTTAGATTGGGGAACAAATTGAAAAAGGACAGAGTGGTAAACAAGGAAAATCATTAGCAGGAAGTTTCAAAGATTTCTGGTGAGAGATTGTGATGGTTTTGATCAGGGCGTATTGTAGGAGAGATAGAGAGATATGAATGGATTCTAGAAATTTTTGCCTGGAGAGTTGGTGTATTGAATAGAGGAAGGAGTAAGAAGTGTTAAGAAAGACTTGGGGGGCAGGTGTTGTGGCATAGCAGATTAGGCTTCCAGTGGGGATGCCTGCATCCCATAGGAGGGTGCCTAGCTACTCTGTTCTGATCCATCTTCCTATTAATATGCCCAGGAGGCAGCAGATGATGGCCCAGCTACTTAGGTTCCAGCCACAGATGTGGGAGACCTAGATGGAGTTCTGGCTCCTCGTTCATCCTTGACCGTTATAGGCATGTGGGGTGTGAACTACTTGGTGGAAGATCTCTTGCTCTGTTCCTCCTTCTCTAACACTGCCTTTCAAATAAATCTTTTTGTTTAGAATATTTCTGTTATTTATTTGAAAGGCAGAGTCAGAAAGACAGACAGATAGGCACAGAGAGGGTTTTCATCTGCTGGTTCACTCTCCAAATGGCTAAATGGCCAGAACTGGGCCAGGCTGAAGCCAGGAGCTAGGAGCTTTTTCTGGGTCTCCTATGTGGATGCAGGGGCCCAACTTCTTGGGCCCTCTTCTGTTGCTTTCCCAGGTGCATTATCAGGGAGCTGGATTGGAAATGGTGGAGCTGGGACTTGAACCAGTACCCATATATGATGCCAGCATTGTAGGTGGTGGCTTTACCTGCTATACCACAGTGCCAGCCTCTTAAATCCTTTTTTTTTAATATTATTTATTTATTTAAAAGGTGGAGTCACAGAGAAGCAGAGGCAGAGACAGAGTGAGAGAGAGGTGGTGGTGGGGGAGTCTTCCATCTGCTGGTTCACTCCCCAAATTGTTGCCACATTCGGAGCTGGGCCAGTCCGAAGCCAGGAGCCAAGAGCTTCTTCTGGGTCTCCCACATGGGCACAGGTGCCGAGCTAGATCAGAAGAGGAGCAGCCGGGACTTGAACTGGAGACTATATGGGATACTGGCACTGCAGGCAGTGGCTTCCCCCGCTATGCCACAGCACCGTCCCATAAGTATTTTTTAAATAGACTGCTAAGTTTCTGCTATGGGCATCTTTGGTGGATAAAGATACTGATTAATATGACAGGAGAGGTAAGATCTAAGGATATATGACAGTGGGTCATTGGCTGTAAATCTGGAGTCAGTAGAAAAAGAGAGGGGTATAAAGTGTTACAGATATTTTTGAAGTCAATGAAACCACCTGGGAAAGATTATTTATATAGTGATGGAGAGAAAGGTCCAGGATTAATCCTTGAAAGTCACATTTATGTAGAACAGGAAGAGTGACCAGAGAGAAGGAGGAAGATACACTGAATATGGTGTCATGGAGACCAAGAGGGGAAAGCATTTCTCCCCAGAAGAAGGGAGAGTGGTCAACAATATTGAATGCTGCTTGAAGGTGTGCTATTATAAGGGAAAAAACACAATTGTAGGAGTTCCATTTTCCAGTCTTAAGAATCTTAGTCTCCTGATCTGTCCCAACAATAAGTTAAAAGCAGAGAAAACTGAAAAATCATCAACTCTTCTTATATCCACTCAAGAAGTGAGGTTTCAGGGCAAACTGCTGTACCAGACATTGAAGAAATAGTCAGGAACACAGAAAGAATCACAACTACTCAGAATAGAAATCCATAAGTAGAACTCTACATAGGAACTTTATCAGGGCATCAAAACCTAAACTATTTTTATGAATTTCTGAAGACTCAATGTGATTAAGAATCTAAGAGATAAAAATTCCAGGGAAGGGCCGGCGCCGCGGCTCACTAGGCTAATCCTCCACCTAGCGGCGCCGGCACACAGGGTTCTAGTCCCGGTTGGGGCGCCGGATTCTGTCCCGGTTGCCCCTCTTCCAGGCCAGCTCTCTGCTGTGGCCAGGGAGTGCAGTGGAGGATGGCCCAAGTGCTTGGGCCCTGCACCCCATGGGAGACCAGGAAAAGCACCTGGCTCCTGGCTCCTGCCATCGGATCAGCGCGGTGCGCCGGCCGCAGCGCGCCAGCCGCGGCGGCCATTGGAGGGTGAACCAACGGCAAAAGGAAGACCTTTCTCTCTGTCTCTCTCTCTCACTGTCCACTCTGCCTGTCAAAAAAAAAAAAAAAAAAAAAAATTCCAGGGAAACCCATTTATAGGCTCCCCCTCCTCCTTTTGTGGGTTTTGTCTCCAGGAGCCCTATGAGGTCTTCATAGTGATTATTGAAACTTAATCCTGTCATGCTGCTGCAGTGTGAGGGGGAAAGGAATCATTTTGCAGTGAGTCAGAGCACTCTTATTAACAATACCTGCCTTCAAGAGAAACTATTTTTCCAGAATCTAACGTACTGTTATCAGAGCCTAACCTACCTATGGGATGGGAAATAACAACTTCAGTTCCCTCTACTATATCTCATCTAAGGAGGGGGAAAAAATCAGAAGCACTGTGAAGATCACATTCCTGGGGCTCAGACTCACCAAAAATCCTATGACCTTATCACAGGGCTATAGAAAATCTCCTGTCTCACATCTTATCACTGTAATAATAAAGACCTATCCACCATAGTTCCTTTTACCTAGTTTATCATGGCCACCTTTCAAAAAAAATTACAAGGCAAACAAAACAAAACAAACAAACAAACAAAAAAAACCCCACCAGTTTGAAGAAACTAAGTATCAGAACTCAGTCAGATGTGGAGGGAATGTTAGAATTGTCAGACCAGCAATTTTTAAAAAATTGATTAACACACTAAAGGCTTTAATGGGAAAAGTAGACAACATGCAAGAACAGATGGATAATTGATTGCAGAGAGATGGATATTCTAATAAATGATACAAAAGTAATGCTATTTTTTACAGAATTAGGAAAAAAAAAACCTAAAATTCATATGGAACTATAAAAGACCCAGAATAGCCAAAATGATATTCAGAAAAAGGAAGGAAGTAAGGAAACAAGCAAGCTAGCTGGAGATACCACAATATTGACTTCAAAGGATACTACAAAGTTACAGTAATTAAAACATTGTGACTCTGGCATAAATCAATAGAAAATAATATAAAACTCAGAAATCAGTCCACACACATACAACCCACTAATTTGTTGATATAAGTGCCAAGAACATACAGTAGCGAAATTGCTACAGGAAAACATAGAGAAAATATTTCAAGACATTGGTATAAGCAGTGATTTTTAGATAAGACCCCAAAAGTGCAGACAAGTGGGATTGTACCAAACTCAGAAGCTTCTGCACAGGAAAGGAAACAACAAAGTGATGCAATGTCATATGGAATGGGAGAAAATATTTGCAATCTCCTTATCTGACAAAAGATCAATATCCAGAATATATAAGTAATTCAGCAAACTTAGCAATACAAAATCAACCAATCCAGTTAAGAAATGGGCAAAGGACATGAATAGACATTTCTCAAAAGAACAAGTGGCTAATAAATATATGAAAAGGTGTTAAATGTCACTAGCAATCAGGGAAGTGAAAATCACAACCACAATAACGTATCACCTCACCCCTGTCAGAATGGCTAATATACCAAAAAGAAAAAGTGACAAATGCTGGCAAGGAGGTGGTGAAAGGAGAACTTTTGATTTAAACAGTTATTATTTATTTGAAAGGTAGAGCAACAAAGTGGAAAGGGAGAGAGGGAAAGAGAAAGGGAGGGGGGAGAGAGAGAGAGAGAGAGAGAGACTGACTGACTGACTGACTTCCATTTACTGGTTCACTACCCTAAATGGCCACAACAGCTGCAGCTGAAGCCTGAACCCCATCTTGGTTTCCCACATGGGTGATGGGGTGCAAGTAGCTGGACCATCATGTCAGGTACATTAAGAAGAAGCTAGACTGGAAGCAAAGTAGTTGGGACTCCAACCAGAACACTGATGTGGGATGCCAGCTTTGCAAGCATTAGCTTAACCTGCTGTGCCATAGTGCCTACCCAAAAGGGGGATTCTTAAATGCTGTTAGTGGAAAAGTAAATTAGTACAGTGACTACGGAGATTCCTTAAAAAACTAGAAATAGAACTTCGCTGTGATCCTGCAATCCCGCTGCAAATTCCTCCCTCTTGTCCTTTACATCATGACTGTATTTTGGACGGAATAAAAATGAAAATACAGGGGCGAGTGTTTGGCCTAGGAGTAAATCTGCAAGGTAAGAGGCTCATGTTTCATATCAAAGTGCCTGGGTTTGATGCCCACCTCAATCAGGTTTCTTCCATCCCCTCTGCTGCTGCAGCTACTTAAGGAATGAGCCAGTGAATGGGAGTGAGCACTTGCTCCGATTCTGTTTCTCATGTAGGACTTGCTTTCTCTTTCTCTTATATCTATTTCACTATCTCGCAAATGAAAAAAATAGTTGAAGGTGAAAATATAATTTATCAAAATTTGTGGGATATGGCAAAAACAATGGCATTTAATGAGTTCATTTGAAAAGTAGAAAGATCTAAAATCAATAAGCATCCATCTTAGGAAACTAGAAAAAGAAGATCAAATTTAATCCAAAGTAAGCAGAAGAAAGGAGGAAACACAGACCCAGCCATTGTAGGCTAAGGTTTACACCCACAGAAATGAAAACATGCATCTTCATAAATACTTCTACATGATGTTCATAGCAGCATTAATCATCATAGCTAAAAAGTGAAACAACTCAAATGCCCATCTAATGATTAAAGGATATATAAAATGTGGCGTATTCATATAATACGATATTATTTGGCAGTAGAAATATAAGAAGCTTTGATACATGTCACAACATGGATGAAGTTTTGAAAATATTGTATGACATCAAAGGGCTAAGTCACAAAAGAACACATACTGAATGATTTCATTTATATGAAATATCCATGATGGGCAAATTTATAAAGACAGAAATAGTTCACTGATTATTTAGGGCTGGTGATAGTGAAAAGGCAGATGACTGCTAATGAATACAAGCCTTATTTTAAGAGACAGACGTTTTGAAAATTAGATTGTGGTGGTCACAATGTTGTGAATATCGTTTAAAAATTGAATTTTATCCTTAAGGTGGGTAAATTTTATGATATCTAAGTTATACCTTAATAAAACTACTACAAAAGTTCCCTAAACTATTATCTGGAAGAGGGAAGTTCCTGAAAAAATGCAGAGGAATGGATGCAATATACAAGTAGAGGAAATGGCTTTTCATTTCCAGTGTGGTAAATTTGTGGATGTAATTGTGGGAAGACTGGCTTTGCACTGAGAAAGATTCCATGTTTGGCTTAATGTTCTGCTTTTGGGGTGATGACATTCTTAGTAATGTTTTAACAAGGGCACTCAAGTTCTAAACTGACCCCCTGCCCCAAATAATGTGAGTTTTGAGTGTTGGCATCCTGTTTGATGGCCACTGTTATAAGGAAGTGTGTGGCCAGACTGTTAGCTGAGAATAGTAGAGGGAAGGAAGTAAGAAGTTTCAGGAAATTCGTATAGGTGTGAAATAGTCCTGAGAAGCTGGTGAAGTGTAGCAGTGTTGCTTGTCTATGGCTTTGCCTTTTGAGCTGGTGGTGTTGATATGCCAGACTATACAGTTTTCCTCAGTACTCGTTTGCTCTGGAGGCATGAAGGCTATGGATGTCAAGGTTTATCTAATGCTGGAAATTTGTCAGGTATCTGTGATAGAGAGAGAATACAGAGTAGACAAGGAAGGAAAAAGAAGAGGGTTAATAGATAAAGATTAAAATTGTACGATCAGTGAACTAGAGATTTTAATGAATGGTAGAATTTATTTCACGAAGATATTTCAGCCAGAACTGAAAAGATACAGGAAGCTCCTGGAATTGGTGGTTATGTAGTTTCTGTTAAAGGTAAGGGCTGATATTTGATTATGAAGTGACTGAGATGGCATGAGGGTAAAATATTATTGGAAATGTAGGAGTCAAGGAACTGAGAGGCCAGTCGATTGAGTAGGTTTTCAAAATTGCTGCGAATGATGGCAGGAGTAAGAGAGAAAGCTGTTTGAAAGATGTGAAATATTCATGGAAAGAAAAGTCTTCAGGGACTGTAAACGCCTCACTCTTTGCTCCATGTTTGTTCTCCCATTCCTTGTCTTGGAATATACCTTATATCTGTTCTAAGTCCTCTCTCTCTCTCTCTCTCTGTCATCCTCTTTATACCCCTATCCACAGTTCAACTGCACCTCCCTGTTTATGTTGAATATATTTAAACTTTGGGAAATATTGTAAAGACATCTTGAAAGCATAAGAGGAGTTAAACAACTTAGGACAAGCAATCACTCAATGGTCTCCAATTTTCAATGTTGGGGATGAGTTAGAAAAATAACACATTGTCTTAACAGTTGCCAGTTTCCTATGTCAAGAGGACAGTTAGTTTCTTACATGCATATTACTGTATAATAAAGACAGTTAAAATAAATATATTTAGTGTTTGTCCTGAGATTAAATTTTAAATATTGATAAATCTCATCATTTGTTTTCTTTTCACAAAACACTTTTGGGGAGATGTTATTTTAAATTGGTAGGAAATTATTTTTAAATATTTATGCATTTGGGCTGGTGCCGTGGCTCACTTGGCTAATTCTCTGCTTGCAGCGCCAACACCCTGGGTTCTAGTCCCAGTCAGGGCGCCGGATTCTGTCCTGGTTGCTCCTCTTCCAGTCCAGCTCTCTGCTGTGGCCCAGGAGGGCAGTGGCGGAAGGCCCAAGTGCTTGGGCCCTGCACCCGCATGAGAGACCAGGAGGAAGCATCTGGCTCCTGGCTTCGGATTGGCGCAGCGTGCTGGCCGTAGCGGCCATCTGGAGGGTGAACCAATGGAAGGAAGACCTTTCTCTCTGTCTCTCTCTCTCACTGTCTAACTCTGCCTGTCAAAAAAAAAAAAAAAAAAAAAGATTTATGTATTTGAGAGGCACAGTTATGGACACACAGAAGGAGAGATAGAGAGAAAGGTCTTCCATCTGCTGCTTTACTCCCCAAATGGCCGCAATGGCTGGAGCTGGCCTGATCTGAAGCCAGCAGCCAGAAGCTTCTTCTGAGTTTCCCACATGGGTGCAGGGGCCCAAGGACTTGAGCTGTCTTCCACTGCTTTCCCAGGCCATCAGCAGGGAGCCTGATCAGAAATGAAGCAGCCAGGATTGGAACTGGCACCCAAAAGGGATGCTGGCGCTGCCAGAGGAGATTTAACCTATTAGGCCACAGTGCCAGCACCAGTAGGAAATATGTTTAAGCTGAATATTTCAAACTGTTTTGTCTTTCCACAGATACTTTACTTAAATGTGTGGAACTTGTTATTTTTTTCCTGGAAAATCATCCATCTTTAAGTGTCATTTTTTTTTTTTATTTCAAAGAATATTGGAACATGGGACAAGTAGTAGCAATGTTTTCATAGCAATGTGAAACCTATTTCATGATTATAATTTTTTTTCAGCCTGAAAAGGATTCTGAACATAAAGATACAAATTTTCAAACAAAATTAAATTCTCCTCATGTAGAAATTAAGGACTCATCATCTTGCCCTAGTTCTACTCTTGAAAGCAATGCAGGTAGATCCCTTACTAAAGTTCTGCTGCCTCAGCCCCTGGAATCTGCATTGGTAAGCACTAGTCTTTTATTAACTAATAATTCTTGAAAATACTACAAAAGTGAAATTACTTACTAAGAATATTTAAGAATGCATAATTTCTTTGTGTTTGTGATTTTCTTTATTTAGCAGTGTTTTGAAAGTCCATTCATGAATCAGGCCATCAAGGAGAGAGGCGCCTTTCTCTGAAGGGAGGAAGGAACCTCCACTGTGATATGGCCTTGACTAAACAAATTCAGAGTTGGTGAACTCAAGGGGCTTCCATAGCCTAGACAGCTCATAGCAAGAGTCTCGGGTGATTGCTGACGTCATAAATAAGAGTGCCAATTGTTAAATCAACAACGGGAGTCACTGGGTTCATGCTCCCCACGCAGGATCTCTGTCCTTAATATGTTTATCTATGAAACTCAAAAACAACACTACTAGTCGAACAATACCCTATACCTGGTTCGGTTGTGTGAGTGCAACCTGTTGAAATCCCTGCTTAGTATATACTAAATTGATCTTCGGTATATGAAGGTAACCGAAAATGAAACGTGATGAAGGGCGGGATGGGAGAGGAAGTGGGTGAGGGGAGGGCCACAGGAGGGAGGGAGGTCGGGGGGAAGCCACAACAATACAAAAGATGCATTTTATATTCTACTTAAAACTATTGGTTGAGCTCTGTAATTAATACACAATTACTCTTAGGTGTTTAATCAATGCTATAACTAGTACTCAAATAGTATTTTACACTTTGTTTCTGTGTGGGAGCAAAATGTGGTAATCTTTACTTAACATACGCTAAATTGATCTTCTGTATATAAAGATAATTGAAAATTAATCGTGATGTGAAGGGGAAGGGGAGAGGGAGTGGGAGAGGGGAGCGTTGTGGATGGGAGGGAAGACACGGGGGGGGGGGGAGGAGGCTATTGTTGTCCATAAGCTGTACTTTGGAAATTTACGCTCATTAAATAAATTAAAAAAAAAAAAAAGAAAGTCCATTCATATTGTATCTATCACAACTTCACACATTTCAATTGCCAAATAATATTCTGTTTCACGGATGTACCACATTTTACTTGTTATTCATCAATCAATGGACATTAGTGCTGCTTCCACTTAAATGCATAATTTCTTAACATATCTAGGAAAAGATAAAGCTGTTTACTTACAGCTACATACAGACTGAAGTCTTTTTTTTTTTTAAATTTATTTGACAGATAAAGTTAGACAGTGAGAGAGACAGAGAGAAAGGTCTTTCTTCCGTTGGTTCACTCCCCAAATGGCCGCTACGGCCGGAGCTACGCTGATCCAAAGCCAGGAGCCAGGTGCTTCCTCCTGGTCTCCCATGCGGGTGCAGGGCCCAAGCACTTGGGCCATCCTCCACTGTCCTCCCGGGCCACAGCAGAGAGCTGGACTGGAAGAGGAGCAACCGGGACTAGAATCCGGTGCCCATATGGGATGCCGATGCCGCAGGTGGAGGATTAACCAAGTGAGCCACGGTGCCGGCCCCCAGACTGAAGTCTTTAAAATTGATTTGACAGATGACAGCTATGTCATTGGAACTACAAGAAGGTGGATATTGAGGCAGAATTAAAAATTCCAGTGGTTTATTGAAGGGACTGATTAACACCTGAGACAAAGCAGGAAAGAAGAAAAGTTGGCAGGGATAGCCTCACTCTTCACTGCTGAGCTGACAGAAGCTTTCCCAGTGAGGTGTTCTGGAGGAAAGATTTCCCATTAAAAAGTCTGATGTCAGTCTCCCAAGCCCAGACATTGGCTGGCAGCTGCCTGGAAATATGGTGGCTTCTGCTTGAAAGCAGGAGATTTGGCGGAAGCTGGAGCTGGGGGTGTTGGCTTAGCCACACTCCCTGCCTCAGGACAGCGAGTCCTGTGTTCAGGGAGGTCTGAGTAGAGCACCCCCAATGCTGCCACGAGGGTATAGGAATAGCTATCACTGCCTGTCTCTTATTCTTCAGGCACCATGTGTCCTGTTTACACATGTTATTTATAGTCCTTTCACAACAGTCCCTAAGCCTAGAGTAACCCACATTGTTCAGAAGAATAGAGAATAGAAGATTATGTGGATATCAGTTAGAGAAGTGACATAGTATACCAGATGAATGTACCTGTAAAATTGTTTTGAAAAAAATGTTTCCCAGAAAACTATTCCACGTTATGCTTTGTACCAACAACTAGTTTAACAGATCCAGAGGAAGAGAAAGAGTGAAAGAAAAGATAGGAAGGGGCCAGCACTGTGGCGCAGTGGACTAATGCCCTGGCCTAAAGCGCCAGCCTTCCATATGGGCGCCAGTTCAAGACCCGACTGCTCCACATCTGATCCAGCTCTCTGCTGTGGCCTGGGAAAGCAGTAGAAGATGGCCCAAGTCCTTGGGCCCCTGCACCCATGTGGGAGACCCAGAAGAAGCTCCTAGCTCCTAGTTTCAGATTGGCGCAGCTCTGGCTGTTGTGGCCTGTTGGGGAGTGAACCATCAGGTGGAAGACCTCTCTCTCTCTCTCTCTCTCTCTCTCTCTCTCTCTCTCTCTGCCTCTCCTCTCTCTGTGTAACTCTGACTTTCAAATAAATAAATAAATCTTTTTTTAAAAAAGGAAAGATAGGAAAAGAGAAACCTAACACAAACATGTGATGTTCAAGTTTTATTTCTTGAGTTGGCTCTCTCTGTCTCTTCAACTATCACTGTTTCTCTCTCTCTCTCTCTCTCTGGTGTTACTGTCTCTGATTTTGTCTCTCTTGTTGCAAGGCTCTCTCTCTTTCTTCTCTCAGTTTCTGTCTCTGTCTCTCTCTCTCTCTCTTTTTTTTTTTTTTTTGACAGGCAGAGTGGACAGTGAGAGAGACAGATAGAGAGAAAGGTCTTCCTTTTTGCCGTTGGTTCACCCTCCAATGGCCGCCGAGGCTGGCACACTGCGGCCGGCACACTGTGCTGATCCGATGGCAGGAGCCAGGTACTTATCCTGGTCTCCCATGGGGTGCAGGGCCCAAGCACCTGGGCCATCCTCCACTGCCCTCCCGGGCCACAGCAGAGAGCTGGCCTGGAAGAGGGGCAACCAGGACAGAATCCGGCACCCCGACCGGGTCTAGAACCCGGTGTGCCGGCGCCGCAAGGCAGAGGATTAGCCTAGTGAGCTGCGGCGCCAGCCTGTCTCTGTCTCTTTTTCTCTCAGTGTTCTCTGTCTCTTGCTGTCATCCTCTGTCCTCTAATTCTCTCAGTGTCTTTCTGCTCCCAGTCTGTGTTGGTGCGTGTCTTGTCTGTCTGCTCCTGCCCTCTCTCCTTTACTCAATCTTCCTCTCTTTTTTCCTTTCCTCTCAGTCTTTTGTCTCTTCCCACTCCCTCTCCCCCCACCTCTTTCCCCCATCTACCTCTTCTTCCCTCCCTTATCTCTCTGTCTTTCTCTTGTTCTCTCGCTCTCTCCCTCTCCCTCCCTCTCTTTTTGTCATTCTGTTTAGCTCTTGGACCTTGTTTCTTTCTTTCTTTACTCTTTTTCTTCCTCTTTCTTGCTTTGTTCACCCATCTCTGACTGAGAAATAAAAAATGAGTCTGCATCCTATTTTATTTCGTTAATGTTCTATTAATGAAAGTATCTACCTATTTTTAGAATATATATTTCAAACTAATTCTCTTTGCTACATATGCATCTTAACAACTTCATAAATAACTTATAATCCACTTCCATTAAAAATATAATAATATACTAGGAATTATACAATGCTGAAAGTAACATACTTTTCTTAGCAGTTAATAAAATAACCAAATAACTATTCCCTAATTCAACACTCTAATTAGCTTTTTCTCCTAAATTGATAGTAATTTCAACTGAAGTATTCATTTTTTTTCTTTTTTTTTTCTTTTTCTTTTTCTTTCTTTCTTTCTTTTTTTTTTTTTTTTTTTTTTTTTTTTTTTTTGACAGGCAGAGTGGACAGTGAGAGGGAGAGAGACAGAGAGAAAGGTATTCCTTTGCTGTTGGTTCACCTTCCAATGGCCGCCACGGGTGACGCGCTGCGGCCGGCACATCGTGCTGATCCGAAGCCAGGAGCCAGGTGCTTCTCCTGGTCTCCCATGCGGGTGCAGGGCCCAAGGACTTGGGCCATCCTCCACTGCACTCCCTGGCCACAGCAGAGAGCTGGTCTGGAAGAGGGGCAACCGGGACAGAATCCGGCGTCCTGCTATACCACAGTGCTGGGCCCCCATAGTTATTATTCCACATAGAGAATTCTTGGGAGTTGTTTGACATAGCTAAGAAAGAAAACCCTTTAGTTTACTATCAAATGATTTAAAATTTAACTAGTAGATAAAAGATTTTACTGATATTACATATTATAATCTAGTCTACTAACTTTAAATTGTGATTTTACTATATTAAAGTAGTATATTCCTGCTATTCATTCTCCTATTTCACAAAATATTTGTAGAAAATAAATTCTTCTACTACTGATAAGAAAAGTACAGACTTGTTAACAAGTACACCATCTTCAGCGACAGCTGTTTTTGTGGTAAGTATTAACTTTTATCTATTTTGTGACTCTTCCTCTCCCCATTCTTCTATTTTTGTTATACTAGGGAATATTGCCTATAGAGAATGATATCTGTATTTTTTTGTTGCATAAGCATACTTTCATTGCAAGTATTGTATATATTGCTATGCATGTAAGGGGGAAAGAAAATCAGAATTTTATAGTATTAACCAGGGTTCTTCTTTTTTTGGTTTTCTTAATTATTGTATGTAAATATACATAACTGAAATTTAGAACTTTTGCATCCATTTTGTTGCAAAAGGCAGGATTTTATTCTTTTTATGGCTGAGTAGTATTCCATACTACTATTCCATACTATATATATATATATAATAATATATAAATTTATATACATTATATATAATATTACTATATATTATTATATTATTAGATATTGTATATTATATATTGTTATATATAATATATATTATTATATATCAATTTTTATATATATAAATACCATAATTTCTTAATCCAGTCATCAGTTGATAGACATCTAGGTTGATTCCATATCTTAGCAATTGTGACTTGAACTGCAATAAACATGGGGATACAGATACATCTTTCATATGCTGATTTCATTTCATTTGGGTAAATTCCCAGGACTGGGATTACTGGGTCATATGGTATATATGTTTTCTGATTTCTGAGGTGTCTCCATACTGTCTTCCACAATGGCTTTACTTGTATTTTTTCTGGTTTCAGAATTAAGGTGATGCTGACCTCATAGAAGGAGTTTGAGAGGGTTCCCTCCCTTTCAATTGCTTTGAATAGATTGAGAAGATTGGAATTAGTTCTTTAAAAGTCTGATAGAATCCAGCAGTAAGGCCATCCAGTCCTGGGCTTTTCTTTGTGGAGAGGATGCTGATTACTGATTCAATCTCTGTCTTGGTCATTGATCTGTTTAGGTTTTCCATGTCTTCATGACTCAATTTTGTTATACTGTATGTGTCCAGAGTCTACCCATTTCTTTTAAGTTTCCCAATTTGTTGCTATACAGCCTTTGTAGTAATTCCTGATTATTCTTTTTATTTCTTTGGTATCTATTATTATATTTCCTTTTTCATTTCTGAATTTGTTGATTTGGGTTTTCTCCCTCTTTTTTAGTTAGTTGGGCCAATGATGTATCAATTTTGTTTATTTTTTCAAAAACCCAGTTCTTCATTTCACTGATCTTTTGTATTTTTAAAAAAGACTTATTTATTTATTTGAGAAGTTGCGTTAAAGACAGAGAAAAAGAAAGAGGCAGAAAGAAAGATCTTCCATCTGTTGGCTCACTCCCCAAATGGTCGCAACAGCCAGAGGCAGGCCCATCTGAAGTTAGGAACCAGGAACTTCTTTCAGGTCTCCCACGTGGGCATAGGGGCCCAAGGAATTGGGCCTTCCTCTACTTATTTCCCAGACCATAGAAGAGAGTTGGATTGGAAGAGGAGCAGCCAACACTCAAACTGGTGCCAATATGTGGTACCAGAGCCACAGGTGGAGTCTTAGCCCACTATATCACAGCACTGGCCCCTCTTTTATATTTTTTGTTTCGGCCACAGCAGAGAGCCGGCCTGGAAGAGGGGCAGCCGGGACAGAATCCGGCTCCCCGACCGGGACTAGAACCCGGGGTGCCAGCGCTGTAGGCGGAGGATTAGCCAAGTGAGCCGCGGCGCCGGCCCCTACCATTACTCTTGTATTGGAGTCTATGTCTCCCTTTAGATCCATAAATATTTGTTTTAAATAGCCAGTTGCCCTGGCATTGGGTACATTTACATTTATTATAGTCACATATTCCTGTTGAATTGATCACTTAATCATTATATAATGCCCTTTTTTGTCTTTTTTAGCAGTTTTTGTGTTAAAGTCTATTCTGTCTGATATTAAGATGGTTACACCTGCCTTTTTTTTTTTTTTTTTTTTGCATTCTCTTAGTGTGGAGTATCTTTTTCTGTTTTTGCACCTTCAGAGTGCATATATCCTAGTTGGTGAGGTGCTTTTCTTGTAGGCAGCAAACATATGGATCTTGTTTTTTAATCCATTCAGCCAGTCTGTCTTTTAATTGGAAAATTTAGAGCATTTACATCCAAGGTTACTATTGCTAAGTAACCACTTGGCCCTGCCATTTTTCCATAAATATTCATTTTGTTTGCGTTGGATTTCCTTTGTACTTCTATTAGGAAATTTTATGCCTTCACATTCTTTCATAATGATGACCATATTTGTATGTTTCTGTGTGTAGCACATCCCTTTTATTTATTTTTTATTAAAGATTTTTATTTATTTATTTATTTGAGAGGTAGAGTTACAGACAGTGAGAGGGAAAGACAGAGAGAAAGATCTTTCTTCTGCTGGTTCACTCCCCAAATGGCCGCAACAGCCAGAACTGCACTGACCTGAAGCCAGGAGCCAGGTGCTTCCCGGTCTCCCATGCGGGTGCAGGAGCCCAAGGGCCTAGGCCATCTTCTATTGTCTTCCCAGGCCACAGCAGAGAGCCGGATTGGAAAAGGAGCAGCCAGGACTAGAACTGGTGCCCATATGGGAGCTGGCGCTGCAGGCAGATCAACCTACTGTGCCATGGCGCCAGCCCCATAGCGTATCCTTAAACATAATTTGTAAGGCTGGATAAGTGATGACAAATTCTTTCAATTTCTATTTGTTATGGGAGGTCTTTATTTCACTTTCATTCACAAATGAGAGCTTTGTAGGGTACAGTCATCTGGGTTGACAATTTTTTTTCTCTTAAGACTTGGACTATGTCTCTTTAATCTCTGCTAGCCTATGGAGTTTCTGATGAGAAATCAGCTGTAAGTCTAATTGAAGATCCTCTGAAAGTAATCTGCCATTTTTCTCATGCACATTTTAGAAGCTTTCCTTATTTTTTGTGTTGTGAAAGTTTGACTACCATGTGTCATGGTAAAGATCTTTTTTGGTCATCTCTATTAAGAGAGCCATCGCCGCAGGTCAATAGGCTAATCCTCTGCCTGCGGCGCCGGCACACCAGGTTCTAGTCCCGGTCAGGGCACCGGATTCTGTCCCAGTTGCCCCTCTTCCAGGCCAGCTCTCTACTGTGGCCAGGGAGTGCAGTGGAGGATGGCCCAAGTGCTTGGGCCCTGCACCCACATATGAGACCAGGAGAAGCACCTGGCTTCTGCCTTTGGATTAGCACGGTGCACTAGCCGCAGCGCGCCAGCCACAGTGGCGGCGGCCATTGGAGGGTGAACCAACAGCAAAGGAAGACCTTTCTCTCTGTCTCTCTCTCTCTCACTGTCCACTCTGCCTGTTAAAAAAAAAAAAAAAAAGTGCTGTGTACTTTGACATCCTTTGGTTTCTTCAAATTGGAGAAATTTTCTGTAATAATTTCACTGAATAGGCCTTCTAATTCATTATCTTTTTCCATACCTTCAGGAACTCCTAAGACCTATATGTGGGGTCATTTGATAGTAGTCCATAAATCTTGAACATTGTTTTTTAATTTTTCTAATTTCTTCTTTTTTATTTTGGTCTGAGATATTTCCAAAGATTTGCTGTCGCTCCCCGTCTTCGTGGAGGAACGACACAGGACCCTGCACTGTTCTTTTGTCTGCTCGGCCCTCCCCAGGTTTGCTGCTGGTTCTTCCCGGGTTGGCTACCGACCCTTCCACCTCCATGGAAGGGCGGTTCCCCCTGCCACTTTTCCCCACTTCCGCGGGGGAGCGGCACACCGCCGGCCGGCTCTCTCGGGGGCTGCACAGGTGTTCCTTCAGATAGATGTTCCCCTTAGATGTTCCTGGTGCATGTTGTCTCTCTCCTCCTTTATAGTCCTCTTCCACCAATCCCAACTCTGCTACCCACACACCGAGTACACTGCTCTCCTCCAATCAGAGTCAGCTCCTGCTGCTTATTGGTTGAACTGAAGGCAGCTGTGTAGAAGCTGTTTCCTCCTCTCCCAGCGCCATATTGTGGGAGAGCAGATGCATAGAATAAGTCTTAATTCCAGTAACAGTCTAGTCCGAGTTGCTCCCCACAATTTGCCTTCTAGCTTGAGTATTCCTTCTTCTGCCTCACCAACTCTGTTGTTAAGGCTTTCCACTGTGTTTTATTTAACATATTGAATTCTTCATTTCTAATATTTCAGTTTGATTTCTGTTCAAAATCTCAATCTTATGGGGCAGTTTTTCCTCCATGTCATATATGAATTTCTGTAACTTGTGGGTTTGCTTCTCCTTGATTCTGAGTAATTCTGTGATCAATATTTAGAACATCTTTAGGCATTTCATCAATCTATTCATCTTCACTTTCTCGTATTTAGTGTTGTGTTCCTTTCTGGGAGTCATGCTTTCTTGTTTCTTGAATTTCTGCATTTATTTTAGGTGTTTGTTAGAAATACTTGTTGGTTTTTTTCCCTCTGATGGCATTTATCTTTGAACTAAGCCTCTGTGACTTAGTGGATTGTCTGCTCTCTCCATGAATACCCAGAGGTGTGTGCAGGGTGCAGCCAGGGAGCTCTGGTCAGTGTTGCAGGATGGGGCAAGTATCCAGGGTGACACTCAAGTTGGACATGGTTGGTCTCTTTATTATTGGCAGGAGGAGGATATAATCACCTCATTTGGTGTAATCACTCCCTCACCTCCTCTTTTCCAAGGTCATCACTGCCTGGGTTTAGTCCACAGTGGGTACAGCACTCATCCACGCTGCCACATGAACAGCACAGAGAGTGTGCAGTCCTCAGTGTGAGCACTGATCTCTATGCAGTGACCCAAGACAGTCAGAGAGCTCTGAGCCTCTGGTGTCAGATACAGCGATTCAAAATCCCTGTCATGCAGTCACAGAGTTCACACAGACTTAGCACACAAGGCTCCCACAGTTACAGGCTACAGAAGATCTATTCCACCCCGCTAGACTGTCCCCTCCACAGAGAGAGCAGAGAGCTTTCCAGAGCCAGCTTCCTGTGAGTGCTTCACCTTGCGGTTTGAGCCCCAGAGCCTGTGATGTTGAGAGGCTGGGGGCACCTCACAGTCCTATGTGGATGCCCAGTCCCCATCAACCCTCCCAGCCAGACTCAAAATCAGTGGGGAATGCGGATTTTTCCCTCTGGTAAAATCTTCCAATCATATGCAAAAGAACCGCACCACTGTTGTCAAAATGGCACTTTCTCCCCACCAGTTGCTGATGCCATTGCTGGGTTAAACAGGTACACTGCCCCTCTTAGGGCTCCAGGCTGATCTCAAAGACAGTGTGGTCTGCAAGGCTCTCCCTCCCGCAATATCACCAGTGGCATAAGCTGCTGCAGTGTGCTCTCACCTCGCTCTCCAAAGCTGGCGTATCCACCAGTTCTGGAGTGTGGTGTTCGCACTCTTTGCTGCATGACGGCACCTTCCAGTCTGATCCATGGTGCCCTCTGCATTCTGTAGTTTTCACTGCAACCCTGACTTGCTCTCTCCAGCTGTCTACTGGGAATGCACTTTCTCCACCTACCCCCCACCCCCCCGCCTTCTAAAGCAATATATCTTTCCCTTGTTCATCCACCTTGGGACACAACTCTTGCTCCCTCCCTCCCTCCCTCCCTCTCTTTCTTTCTTTCGATTCATTTATTTACTTGAAAGACAGATTTACGCAGAGAGAGAGAGGGAAATACAAAGAGAGATCTTCCATCCATTGGTTCACTCTCCAGGGTGAGGCCGGGCCAAAGCCTTGGACCCAGGAGCCTCTTCCAGGTCTCCAACCTGTATGCAAGGGCCCAAGCAATTGGGCCATCCTATGCTGTTTTCCCAGGCCCAATAGCAGGGAGCTGGATTGGAAGTACAGCATCCGGGACACCAGCCAGCAGTCATATGGGATGCTGCATGGCAGGTGGCAGTTTTACCTGCTATACCACAATGTCAGCCATGAACATATGTTTTCATTAGTCTTAGCTACATACCCAGAGTAGAATTTCCTGGGTTATATGGTTACTTATTTGAGGAAATGTGAGACTATTTTCCAGTGTGCCTGAATAAGCTCACGTTCCCAACACTGTATGAATATTCTGATTTCTCTACATTTTTACCAACACTTGTCACCATCCATCTTTTGGGGGTGAACTGGTATCTCTTTGTGATTTTACATTTGATCTTATTTGCTATTTGTATTCCTTCTTTGGGGAAATGCCTATTCAAAGATACTGTGCCCATTTTATAATGAAGTTAATGATTGAGTTATAAGGAATCTTTTTTCTGGACACTAGATCCTTATCAGATAGGTCATTTGCAAATATTTTCCCATCTAGTAGATAAATACCAGCATCTTCTAAAAATAATTTTGAGACTACTTAATGGATTGATATTTTAAAGTTCAAAATTTTGTTAATGAATCAGTTTGAAACAAATTGCTCTTTGGTTCATTCCACAACTTGCTGCCACCAGAGGAGGCCTGTGGATTCCCTTCGATTCTGAGCTTTCACATCTTCGGTGGCTATCCTAAAGAAGGCCAATTGAGCAGAGACTTCTGGGAGATTTTCATTTGCCAGTATCTTGTTTTAATGTGACCTTTCTAAGACTATTCTAAGATACAGATACATAGACATGAAGTTGTTCTGTGCTGCCAGGAGGAAGAGGACCTCACCAGGGGAAGAACATGCACCCTACTCCACACACACACACACACACACACACACACACAGAGAGAGAGAGAGAGAGAGAGAGAGAGAGAGACACGAAGGGAGGGAGGGAGGGGCACAGAGAGAGAGAGAGAAAAAAAAACTCCCATCTAGTGCATCTGAATCCAGTTGAGGTATCCATATATTTGGGCTAGCCTAAGTGCAAGTCAAATTACCCTAGTCAGATATAGCTGGTCAGTATTTCAATGCTTGGAGTCTTCATCTACGAAGTAGGAATCATGTGTCTAATTTTAGATATTTTCAGTTTGATACAGAAATATGTGATGATTTCAGTAACCTAATAGAGGTATGGATGTGGTGCTCAGAAGAGAGTTGTATTTTAGAGGTAGAGATTTTAAAATCTGATGTTTGGTTGTTGTGCAAAAAGAAGATAAGCACAGAACAGTGGGAAAAGTTTGCATTACAAAAAAATCAAGGGAGGGACCGGCACTGTGGTGCAGTGGGTTAACGCCCTGTCCTGAAGTGCTGGCATCCCTTCCGTGTGCCTATTCGAGTCCTGGCTGCTCCACTTCTGATCCAGCTCTCTGCTGTAGCCTGGGAAAGCAGTGGAAGATGGCCCAAGTCCCTGGGCCCCTGCACCCACGTGGGAGACCAGGATGAAGCTCCTGGCTCCTGGCTTCGGATTGGGGAGTGAACCATCGGATGGAAGACCTCTCTCTCTCTCTCTGCCTCTCCTCTCTCTGTGTAACTCTGACTTTCAAATAAATAGATAAATCTTAAAAAAAAAAAAAAAAGCAAGGGAAATTATTCTAGGAAGTGTGGTTGCTGGGTAGATGACTTTGATTTAGTAAGTATTTGATAAATATTTATTGAATGAATGAATAGAAAAATATGAGGTATAACAAAAATTCCTACTTAAAAATAATATTCTGATGGGCATTATGCAACAGGTTAATCTGCCACTTGGGTTGCCTGCACACCGTATCAGAAGGCCTGCTTTGAGTCCCATCTATTCTGTATTTCCAATCCAGCTTCCTTTTAATGTACATTGGAGGCAGTGGATGATGTTCCAAGTACCTGGGTTCCTGCCATCAACATGGGATACCTGGATGAGATCCTGGCTTCAGCCTGACCTAGCTTAGGCTGTTGGCACATTTAGGGGGTAAACCGCTGGATGGAAGATCTCTGTCTCTACCACTCCACCTTTCAAATAAGTAATTAATTCTTTTAAAAAACACTAAAGCAAAGAGTATTATAACCTTCTTTATAGATTGGTTTGTAGATAGTTAACTATACATCTTTTGTAGAATAATTTCCAAATGTCAGTAATAATATTCATATAGATGAAATTGTTCAAATATCAAGTCCACAAGAAAATAATTCCAATGAGATACTATTTTCAGCTTTCTTTTAATTACTTAAAAATAATTATTTTGCAACATTTTTCTACAAAAGAGCAATATATTCTTTTATAGATTGATTTGTCCTCAGTGCAAAAAGCATCTTCTGAAGAATTGTGTCCAAATGTCAGCAATTATGTTAATTCAAATGAAATTGTTCCTGTGTCAAGTTTGCAAGAAAATTCTTCAAATGAGGTAGTATTTTCAAATACCCCTTCAACTGCTGCAGGAAGTAATTGTTGTTATATTAGATACATGGTATGTTAGATACCTTAATAAATCTGTAACATAGTTGAAGCTGACATCTTTTATTTGTATATGAAGAAGAATCCCTTATAAGATTTTTGATGCTAAAAATATTTTCTCCCCCTCTGTGGATTGCCTTTTTGTTCTGTTGATGGAATCTTTTGATGCATAACTATTTCAACTTTGAATAGTCTTGGCACCCTTGTCAATAGTCGTATGTTCCAGGTTTATGTTTAGGCTCTCCATTCTTTTGATCTATTTGCTTTGCTTTATGCTGGTGCCTTACTGTAGCTTTGTAGTACATGTTGAAACCAGGAAGTGTGAGTCCTCCAGCTCTGATCAAGATTCTTTTGGCATCTGATGTCCTTTGTGGTTTCATATGAATTTTAGGATGGGATTTTCTATTTCTGAAGAGAATGACATTGGATGTTTTATAAGGATTGCATTCATTCTGTAGATCACTTTGGGTTATAATAATGTCTTAGTAATATTAAAAATTCCAGGGGTTGGTGCTGTTGTGTAGTGGGCTAAGCCTCTACCTGCAGTGCCGGCATCCCATATGGGCACCAGTTTATGTCTCAGCTGCTCCTCTTCCAATCCAGCTCTCTGCTTATGGCCTGAGAAAGCAGTGGAAGATGGCCCAAGCCCTTGGGCCCCTGCACCCACTTGGGAGACACAGAAGAAACTCCTGGCTCCTAGCTTCAGATCAGTCCGGCTCTGGCTGTTGCAGCCATTTGGGAAGTTAACCAGCAGTTGGAAGACCTTTCTCTCTGCTCCTCTTCCAGTCCAGCTTTCTGCTATGTCCTGTAATAGCAGTAGAGGATGGCCCAAGTCCTTGGGCCCCTGCACCCACATGGGAGACCTGGAAGAAGCACCTGGCTCCTGACTTCGGACTGGCACAGCTCCGGCCGTTGCAGCCATCTGGGGAGTGAGGCAGCAGGTGGAAGACCTTTCTCTCTGTCTCTACCTCTCTCTGTAACTCTGTCTTTCAAATAAATAAAATAAATCTTTTAAAAAAAAATGAAAGGTAGAGTTGCAGGGAGAGGGAAAGACAGAAAGATCTTCCATCTGCTGCTTCATTTCCCAAATGGAGTCAACAGCTGGGGCTGGGCCAGGCCGAAGACAGGAGCCTCATCTGGGTCTCTCACATGGGTAGCTGGGTCCCAAGAACTTGGACCATCTTCCATGCTTTCCCAGGCGTGTTGGCGTGGAGCTGGATAGGAAGTGGAGCAGCCAGGGCTTGAACTGGTGCTCATATGTTGTTCTGGCATTGCAGGTAGCTTAACCTGCTGTGCCACAATGCTGGCACCATATAAATCTTTCACTTCTTTGATTAAGTTAATTCCTAAGTATTGTTTTTGATGCTATTATAAGTGCAAAAAAAAATTTTTTAAGGGAAAGACCGGAGTGAAGGTGCAGCGAAGGGAAGGAGAGAGAAAGAGAGTATAAGAGAGAAACAGAGAGGAGACGAGCTAGCAAGGAGAGAAGAGAGGTGAGAGGACCCAAGAAAGAGGAGAGAGCAGAAAGGAGCCAAGAGAGAGAGCCAAGAGACCAGAGGAGGAGGCTAGAGAGAGGAACCAAGAGAGCACGTGTTCAGGAACAGGCCCTTTTAAAACTTTGCCCGAGGGCGGGCAGGGAAGCAGGAGCAGCGAATCCCATTAGGATGGGGGTGGAGCTTGACCAGAGGTTGGGCCATATGGCCACCTGGCTAAAACTGCGCCAGTTTCCTAACATTCCCCCCTTTTGTTTTTTATAAAGCAGGATTTGTATGGGATTACATTAGTCCCAAAATTCCAAGAGGGGTAGAGGGACGATAATCTGTCTTTAGAGCTACTTCCTGCTGACATGGGGTGATGGAGGTACTCTTCACTGGCATGGCGTCTCAAGACGCTGTCTCCTGGGTGGGGAGCCAAGTATATCCCAGTGCAAATGTTTTTGCAATTTTCTTTCAGGTTGTTCATTCTTAGTGTGTGGAAATGAAAATTATTTTTGTGTGTCGACTTTATAGCTTGCTATGTGGATGAATTCATTTATTTCAACAGTTTTAAAATTAAGTCTTTCTGCATATACATCACATCATCTGTTAACAGAGATAATTTTACTTCTTCATTGCCTATTCAGGTACCCTATCTTCCCCCAACCCTGCCTTCTTTCTTTCTTCTTTGTATAAATTCCTCTGTCTAGAACTTCTAGTACTGTCTTGAAAAAACAAGCATCCTTTCCTTTTTCTTGATCTTAGAGAAACAAGCTTTCAGTCTCTTACTGCTGAATGTGTTGTCCACTGTGGAGTTTTCATGTGAATTTTATTTTTGTTGAATTAGTTTGCTACAGTTGCTACTTTGTTGGATTTTTTTTTCTTTAAAAGGTGTTAAATTTGTTTAAATGTTGTTTCTGCATCAGTTGAAATGCTCATTTTTCCCCCCTTTATTCTGCTGTTTGTGCTGTGTTATATCGATTACTTTTTATATGTTAAACTATCCTTACATTCTAGGAACTAATCCCTTTTGGTCATGGCCTGTAATCCTTTAATATGCTACTGAATTCACTTTGCTTGTATGTTGATGATTTGTACATCAGTGTTCCTAGGGGGATACTGGCCTGTGGTTTTCTTTTCTTGTAGTGTTGTAGACTTTGTTTACTTTTTTTTTAATGTTGATTTTATTGAATGAATTATGAGAAGTTCCCTCCTCTTCAGTTTTTTGGCAAAGTTTAAGAAGGGTTGGTATTTGTTTTTTAAATGTTTGATAGAATTCAGCATTGAAGCCATCATGACTAGGGTATTTTTGCCTTTTTCCTATATTTAGAGAGAAATACTCAATGATTCGATGTTAAATTTGATGTATATTTTTGTTAAGTTGACGAAGTTTCCTCCTATCCCTAAAACGTTATAGAGTTTGTATTAGGAATGAATGTTGGAATTTGTTAAATGTAATGTTGTGCTTAGTGAGATTATCATGTAATTTTTCTCTTTCAGCTTGCCAACATGATAAATTTTATTAAATTTTCTGTTGTTAGTGCAGCTTTACCTCCTTTTTTTATTATTATTATTAGACAGGTAGAGTTATAGACAGTGAGAGAGACAGAGACAGAGAGAAAGGTCTTCCTTCCATTGGTTCACTCCCCAAATGGCTGCTACAGCCAGCGCTGTGCCGATCTGAAGCCAAGAGCCAGGTGCTTCCTCCTGGTCTCCCATGCGGGTGCAGGAGCCCAAGCACTTGGACCATCCTCCACTGTCCTCCCGGGCCACAGCAGAGAGCTGGACTGGAAGAGGAGCAACTGGGACTAGAACCCAGCGCCCATATGGGATGCCAGCACCGCAGGTGGAGGATTAACCAAGTGAGCCATGGCGCCGGCCCCCAGCTTTACCTCCTTATATATACTTCACTCAGTCATAGTTTATTTGTTCTTTTTGGATATTGTTGGATTCGCTAAAAGTTTTGTTTAGGATATCTACATCAGTTTTGTGGGATCTGTACTTCTTTTTTTTATTTATTTTTATTTATTTTTATTTTTTTGACAGGCAGAGTGGACAGAGAGAGAGACAGATAGAGAGAAAGGTCTTCCTTTGCTGTTGGTTCACCCTCCAATGGCCGCCGCGGCCAGCGCGCTGCGGCTGGCGCACCGTGCTGATCCGATGGCAGGAGCCAGGTACTTATCCTGGTCTCCCATGTGGGTGCAGGGCCCAAGCACCTGGGCCATCCTCCACTGCACTCCTGGGCCACAGCAGAGAGCTGGCCTGGAAGAGGGGCAACCGGGACAGAATCCGGTGCCCCGACCGGGACTAGAACCCGGTGTGCCGGCGCCGCAAGGTGGAGGATTAGCCTAGTGAGCCGCGGCGCTGGCTGGGATCTGTACTTCTGATGTCTTTGGGTTTAGTAGCAGAGTAATGCTACCCTCTGAGTAAGTTGGAAAAGATTCTCCTCAACTTTCTGGAAAAAAAAAAAGTATAGTACTATTTCTGCTTTAATTGCTTGAATTCACAAGTGACACCATCAGGGCTGCAGTTTTCTTGGTTGGGAGACTTTATATTTAAAATAATTTTAGGGCAGAGGACATTTGGCATAGTGGTTAAGCTGCTGCTTTGGACACCAACTTCCATACTGAAGTCTGAGACCTAGCCCTGCTCCCAGTTCCATTTTCTTACTAACATACATCCTAGTAAGCATCAGATGATGGCTCAAGTAGTTGAGAGACTTGGATTGAGCTCCTGGTTCTCATCTCCATCCTGGCCCAGCCTCGCTATTGCAGGCATTTAGGGAATGACCAAAGGATGGGAGTGCATGCTGTTTTTGTCTCTCTTTCTCTCACTCACTCTCTCCTTCTAACTTTCCAATAAATAATTTTAAACATGGAAAGTCACTTTAGAACTTTTCAGCTTACCTGTTTCTTCTTGAGTGCACTTTGATAGTTCACATATTTCAAGGAACTTGTTCATTTTATATAGGTTGTCAATTTATTGTCATGTATTTATAATATTCCTTTATTATTCTTTTATTTCCTTCCTTCTCTTCTGTTTAAAGATTTATTTTATTTATTTAAAAGGCAGAGTTACAGATAGAGGGAGAGACTGAGAGTGTCTGTTCACTGGTTCACTCTGCAAAAGGCCATAATAGCCATGGTTAGGGCAGACCCAGCCAAGAGCCAGGAGCTTCTTCTTGGTCTCCCACATGGTGGCAGGGACCTATATACTTGGGACATCCTCTGCTGCCTTCCCAGGAGCGTCTGCAGGGAGCTGGATCAGAAATGGAGCAGCTGGGACTCAAACCAGCACCCATATGGGATGCTGGTATTGCAGGCAGCAGCTTTACCTGCTGCACCACAATGCCGGCTCTTACTCTTTTACAAATTATTTATTTTATTTGAAGGGTAGTGAAGAGAGAGAAATACATATAAAGACAAAGATCTCTGGCTCCATCTGCTGGCTCCATTTCCAAATGGATGCAACAACCAGGGGTAGGCCAAATTGAAGCTGTGAGCTGAGATTTCCATTTAAGTCTCCCATGAGGGTGGTAAGGCATAAGTACTTAAGCTATCACCTGCTGCCTCCCTGGGTACATGTTAGTAGGAAGCTGAAATCTGTATTAGACTTGGTCCCAGGCCCTCTGATATGGGATGAAGGCATCCCAAGAGATGCCAAAACAATTAAGTTAAACCCCTGCCCCTCTCCTCTGTTAGCGTTTTGCTATGCTGTCAACCTGTAATCTTTCTCATTCTTGGTTTGGATAATTTGTGTCTTTTCTTTTCTTTATGTGATCAGTCTGGCTAGAAGGTTTGTTTTAGTGATTTTTCTCTGTTGTTTTTCTATTTTGCATTTCACTGATTTCTGTTCTGACCTTTATTATTTCTTTTATCTGTTTATTTGGGGCTTAATTTTATACTTTATTAAATAGGAACTGTGGTAATTGATTAGGTATTTCTTTTTTTCTAGTTAGGTGTTTAATGCTATACATTTCCCTGAACTTCTTACATGCTGTATTTTCATTTTCATGAAATTCAAAGTGCTGTCCACTTTCCTTCTTTATGTATTCTTTGATCCATGGTGGTTTTTTTTTTTTTTTTTTTTGACAGGTAGAGATATAGTCAGTGAGAGAGAGAGACAGGTCTTCCTTCTGTTGGTTCACTCACCAAATGGCGCTGTGCCGATCCGAAGCCAGGAGCCAGGTGCTTCTTCCTAGTCTCCCATGTGGGTGCAGGGGCCCAAGCACTTGGTCCATCCTCCACTGCCCTCCTGGGCCACAGCAGAGAGCTGGACTGGAAGAGGAGCAACCGGGACTAGAACCCAGCGCCCATATGGGATGCCAGCGCCGCAGGTGGAGGATTAACCAAGTGAGCCACAGCGCCGGCCCTCCATGGGTTATTTAGAAGTGTGTTATTTCCTGTCAAAATATTTCGAATTTTTGAAAAAGATTTATTTTATTTATTTGAAAGATAGAGTTACAGAGAGAGAGAGAGAGAGAGAGAGAGAGAGCTATCTATCTTTCATCTGCTAGTTTACTTCCTAATTGGCCACAGTGGCTAGAGCTCTGCTGATTCAAAGCCAAGAGCCAGGAGCCTCTTCCAGGTCTCCCATGCAGGTGCAGGGGCACAAGCACTTTGGCTATCTTCTACTGCTTTTCCAGGCCATAGCAGAGAGCTGGATCAGAAGAGGAGCTGTTGGGACTTGAACTGGTACCCATGTGGGAATCCAGTGCCGCAGTCAGAGGCTTAGCCCACTATGCTACAACGCTGGTCCTGGTAGTGATTTCAAAGTGACTGAATCTTTTTTTTTTTTACCCTCTTCTATTAGTTATTAAAAAAATTGAATTTTCTTTCCGTACTGAAGAATTGTCTATTTCTCCTTTCAGTACTGTCTTTTTTGTTTGTTCCATGTATTCTGAAAGTCTATAATTAGGTGCATTTTCACCTCCCACATGGGTAGCAGGGGCTCATCATCTGCTACCTTCACAGGCATATTAATAGGAAGCTAGATTGAAAGCAGAGCAGCTGGGATTCAAACTGACACTCCCATATGGGATGTTTGCATGACAAACAACAGCATAACTGCTGTGCCCAAAAAGGCTGGCTCCATTGATTGGTTATTTAATGTTTGCTTTGGAGTTTACAGTACTCATCTTTATAGGTAGTCTAGTCCTTCCTTTTCTCCTGTCTCATCTTTTTTGCTGTTTTAACCATGTATTTTACTTTCCCATATATTATAAACCTCACACTGTTTAAACAATGATCATTAAAAGTCTTTTTTAAAAATGACTTATTGATTGATTGGTTTGAAAGGCAGAGTTCAGAGAGAGAGAGAGAGAACAGAGAGACAGAGACAGAGAAAGAGAAAGAGAAAGAGAAAGAGATTCCATCTGCTGGCTGACTCCCAAATGACTGCAACATCCAGGGCTGAACCAGGATCCTGAAATTCCACCTGGGTCTCCCACATGGGTCGTAGGGACCCACGCACTTGGGCCATTTACTGCTGCTTTTCCCAGGTGCATTAGCAGGGGGCTGGATTGGAAGTGGAGCAGCCAGGGGTTGAACTGACACTCATATGAGATGCTAGCACCTCAGGCTGCAACTTAAGCCACCATGTCAGAAGGGTAGCCCCATTAAAAGTTTTATATATGAAAAAATAATCTTGTATATTTAATGTAATAGTTACTGTTTCCAGTGCTATTTATTCCTTTGTATAGATTCACATTTCCTTCTACTATTGTTTTCCTTCTGCCTAAGGGACTTTATCTAGTATTTTTTTAAAGATGTATTTATTATTTATTTGAAAGGGTTACACAGAGAGAGGAGAGGCGGAGTGTGTGTGTGGGGTCTTCTATCTGATGGTTCACTCCCCAATTGGCCACAACGGCCAGAGCTGTGCCGATCTGAAGCCAGGAGCTTCTTCTGGGTTTCCCACGCGGGTTCAGGGGCCCAGGGACTTGCGCCATCCTCCACTGCTTTCCCAGGCCATAGCAGAGAGCTGGATCGGGAGTGGAGCAGCCGGGTCTCAAACCAGCGCTCTTGGCTGGTGCCATGGCTCAATAGGCTAATCCTCCGCCTGCGGCGCTGGCACACAGGGTTCTAGTCCCGGTCGGGGCGCTGGATTCTGTCCCAGTTGCCCCTCTTCCAGGCCAGCCCTCCGCTATGGCCTGGGAGTGCAGTGGAGGATGGCCCAAGTGCTTGGGCCCTGCACCCACATGGGAGACCAGGAGAAGCACCTGGCTCCTGGCTTCGGATCAGCGCGGTGCACTGGCCGCGGCGGCCATTGGAGGGTGAACCAATGGCAAAAGGAAGACCTTTCTCTCTGTCTCTCTCTCTCACTGTCGACTCTGCCTGTCAAAAAACAAACAAACAAACAAACAAAACAAACCAGCGCCCATATGGGATCCTGGTGCTTCAGGCCAGGGCGTTAACCCACTGCACCACAGCGCCAGCCCCTCTAGTATTTTTTGAAGTTTGAATCTATTAATGGTTAATTATTTGAGCTTTTTATACCCAGAAAGCCTTTACTTTTGCCTTCATTCTTTATAATTTGCTAGAGTCAGAATTCTAGGTAACAATTTTTTTCTTTCCATACCAAAAAATATTGCCTAGCTCTTTGCTCACTTGTGTTGTTTCTAGTAAGAAGTTTGTCATCATCCTTATGTTTGTTCCTCTGTACATGAAATGTCCTTATTCTCTGTTTCCGTTAAAGAGTTAATTGTTTTCCTAAGGTAACCATAGGAAAAATACTACAATATTCTGCTTGAGCTGGGGAGAAGCCATTGTAAGAACCACAATGGGGAGGGGGACAGGGAGCTGCATTTTGGTGTAGTAGGTAAAGCTGACGCCTGCAGTGGGCACCCATTTGAGTCCTGGCAGCTCCGCATCATATCTGGTTCCCTAATAATGGCCTGAGAAGGCTGCAGAAGATGGCCCAAGTATTTGGGCTCCTGTACCCACGTGGGAGACCCAAAAGAAACTCCTGGCCCCTAGCTTTGGTCTGCCCAGCCCTGTCTCTTGCGGGCATTTGGGGAGTGAACCAGTAGATGGAAGACCTCTCTGTCTGTCTCTTCTCTATCTCTGTAATTCTTTCAAACACATGAATACATCTTAAAAACAAACAAACAAACAAAAAAACACTGTGCAGAGCAGTGTTAAGGCACAGTAGTTAAGCCATCACTTGCAAGGCCAGCGTCCCATATGAGCACAAATAAATAAATAAAATATTTTAAGAAAATATGGTTTTTGAAACTGTTTGCTTTTGAAGCGAAGCAGATGTAAATACTGTACCCAGAGGATTCATGCAATGCTGCTTTTCTTTCTTTTTCAGTTTCCTTCAAATACATCAGAAATGTGTTGTATTATTAGGGCATCACCAGGTACTAGACAAGTGAAAAGTAAGGGTATTACTGTGAAGAAGAAAAAATATTCTCCTCCCAAAGATATTCCTCAAGGTAGTGTACTATGAATGCAAAACATTCTTTTTGAATGATATAAAATGATTTTATTGTAAATTCCTTGTGTACATAAGAAATTCAGTTTTAAAGTATATCCTGAGAGTCCATGTACAAAGTAGAAATGGTAAGGTTCTAGAATCTGAGTAAAATAATTATTTTTAAAGATAAATGCTTCATTTTCTGAAAAATTAACTTCTAAAATATTAGCTTATGTCGTTGATATACAATGTATTTGTTGAGTGTATTTCCTCTTTTTTTTTTTTAAGATTTATTTACTTTACTTGACAGTCAGTTATACAGAGAGAGAGAGAGGTCTTCCATCTGCTGCCTCACTCCCCAATTGTCCTCAAGAGCTGGAGTTGCGCTGATCCAAAGCCAGGAGCCAGGAGCCTCTTCCAGGTCTCCCATGTGGGTGCAGGGACCCAAGGATTTGGACCATCTTCTACTGCTTTCCCAGGGCATAGCAGAGAGCTGGATTGGAAGTGGAGCAGCTAGGTCTTGAACCGGTGCCCATATGGGATGCCAGCACTGCAGATGGCAGCTTTACCTACTGTGCCACAGTACCGGCCCCACATTTCCTCTTATAACTATTTGAAATTTAGTGGGTTTTTTTTTTTTTTTGAGTTTCATTTAGAGTATCCTTTTTTTTTTTTTTAAGATTTTATTTATTTATTTGAGAGGTAGAGTTACAGACAGTGAGAGGGAGAGACAGATAAAAAGGTCTTCCTTCCATGGGTTCACTCCCCACATGACTGCAATGGCTGGAGCTGCGCCAATCTGAAGACAGGAGTCAGGTGTTTCTTCCCAGTCTCTCATGCGGGTGCAGGGGCCCAAGGACTTGGGCCATCTGCTGCTGCTTTCCTAGGCCATAGCAGAGAGCTAGATTGGAAGTGGAGCAGCTGGGACTGGAACCGGCGCCCATATGGGATGCCAGCGGAGGATTAACCTACTGTGCCACGGCGCCAGCCCCTAGAATAGCCTTGTTTTTAAAATTGTAGATTTTTTTGTTTGTGTGTTCACCCAACATTGGTTGAGCACTTCCTCTGTGAAGGGCACTGTGCTGAGAACCTTCTCATACCTCACTTATTTCTCAATATGATTTTATGATATATAGGATGTGTACTGTTATCCTCATTTTATATATTAAGACTCACACTTAAAGTAATTTGTACTTTGTCTGAAGTCATACTCCTACCAAGTAGTGGAAGGGAACTCAATCCCTTAAGGCATTTAAAGTCCACATTAGTTTTTTCTTTTTTAAGGATTTATTTATTTATTTGAAAGGGAGAGTTACAGAGAGGCAGAGACGAAGAAAAAGGTCTTCCATCTGCTGGTTCACTCCCCAAGTGGCCTCGTTTTTTTTTTTTTTTCCCTCTATTTTATTTATTTACTTAAGAGGCAGAGTTACAGACAGAGAGAGGGAGAGACAGAGAGGCCTTCCAGTGGTTCACTCCTCAAATGGCTGCAATGGCTGGAGCTACGTGGATCCGAAGCCAGGAGCCAGGAGTTTCTTCCAAGTCTCCCAAGCACTTGAGCCACTCTCCACTGCGTTCCCAGGCCATTATCAGGGAGCTGGATTGGAGCAGCTGGGACATGAACCAACACCCATTGGGATGCCAGCACTATAGGTAGATGCTTAACCTACTACACCATAGTGCTGACCCTAGATTAGTTTTTTGTGCTGCTCCCCTTACTGCATTTCAAGAACAACATCAAATTACACCTTTTGATGATCATTTACACCTTTTGATGATCATTTACATGGAACATATCTTCATGTACATTTTTGCCCATTCAAATTACTCAGTGGAACCTTAGAACTTTTTATGAGTAAGAAGCCAATGAAGCCATTAAAATTTAATAATTATGTATAACTTCAACCAAGCTGCCCACTCTTGATTCTTTTCTTCATTTCCATGTGCCTTGGGTTCTCTCCGTCTTCCTCCTCCCCCTCTTCTCGAATTTATATGAATAAGTAATTAATTAACTATGATCGTAATATACTGCTACCTAATATAATGTATATTGCTGATGTTTCATAACCCTTGGGCTATGAAATTTGCAAGGGCAAAGACCACATAATAAATGTCTTTCTATCTCTATCTGATAATAGTAGCATAGTGTTAGGGAATAGCAGTTGTCTGTATCAGACAGAATCCTGCCAACGCAACAGAGCCAGAAGGAGATATGTGTATGTGTACAGTCACATGCCACATAATGACATTTTGGTCAACAGTGGACTACATCTATGAGGGTGGTCCCATAAGAACATATTACCTAGTGACATTGTAGCCATCTAAGTCTGTGTAAATATATTCCATGATGTTTACACAATGATAGAATTGCCTAATGACATGTTTCTCAGCACATACTCCTGTTACTAAGCCATTTGTAAACTGCAAACACATATATGTCACACACATGTATGTATGAATGTATACTTATACACACATATGTGTATATACAAAATTATTTCAGGGAATTAACTTACACATTGTAGTGTTTGGCTGATCAAGTCTGAACACTAAACAGGCAGACGCTGGTCATGTAGTCCATGGGCAGATTTCTTCTTCAGAAAAAATCAATTTTCCTTTTAGCGTATTTCAAATAATTTGATGAGGTCTGCCCACATTATCCAGGATAGTCTCCTGTACTTAAAGTCAACTATTATAGGTGTTAATTACATTTACAAAATAATTTCACAGCAACATTTAGATTAGGGTTTGAATAGTTACATAATATGGCCTGAATCATCATATCCACCCCTTATCAATTATACATCATATATATTTTCCTTAAGCCATGTTTAATTTCCAAATAAAGAAAAGTCTTCCATCTGTCTAACATGATACAGTTGCCCTGCACAAAGCCAAACATGTGTGACAGTTTCTCCAGAAGAGGATACAAGGTCCTTATATGATGTTCACCCTTCTTGATGTCCTTTAACTTAAAAACTATGATTAAAAAGTTAACTACTATTAATACATATTATATTAAATGGTAAGGGAATAAGTGAAAGTGTGCTTAACCAATCATACAATTATAGTTTGTGTTTATAACTACTTTCTCCCACTACCCATTCCACATCCCCTGTAGCTTCAGTAAGTATACTCTTCAGGTGGTCATGGTTCTTTACTTTGTAGATGATTCAAACCTTCTTTTTTTTTTTTTTTTTTTGCCAGACAGAGTTAGACAGTGAGAGAGAGAGACACAAAGAGAGTTATAGATAGTGAGAAAAAGAGAGACAGGGACAGAAAGATCTTCCTTCTGTTGGTTCACCCCCCAAATGGCTGCTATGGCCGGCGTGCTGCGCCAATCCGAAGCCAGGAGCCAGGTGCTTCCTCCTGGTCTCCCATGCGGGTGCAGGGCCCAAGCACTTGGACCATCCTCCACTGCCTTCCTGGGCCACAGCAGAGAGCTGGACTGGATGTGGAGCAACTGGGGCAGAATCCAGCGCCCCAACTGGGACTAGAACCCGGGGTGCTGGCACCGCAGGCAGAGGATTAGCCTAGTGAGCCACGGCGCCGGCCCAAACCTTCATTCTTGATAGATCTGGGCTGTTAGTAGGCCTGCCTGGATTGAGTTATTAAGGTTTTCCATTAACCTTAATCGTAGGACCTGATAATACTAAGAGATACTAAATTTTAACACACTTACAGTTCCTTACTGGTATTGTGGAGTAATAGTCCAGTTTCCTCTTAGTAGTCTGGGTGAGGCACCTGAACCAACAACCAACAGCATAACTTCCTTCTTGGCCTGTTGATTTTGAGGCATGAATAGCCCAAAGTGGCTGGATGGAGTCTTAACTTCCATGCTAGTGGAATTGTTATTTTCCCTTGTGGAATAATTCTGCCTTTGGAACTGAGAACTCTAGACCATCAGAACAATAAAGTCATGGCAACAGGCAGCAAAATTTTTCTACTGGGTTACCAGGAAAAATAACAAGTGGTACCATTTCCATTTTTGCCTCCTTTATTCCTGGCTATGGGAGAGACAGTACCATATATTGGACACTGATTTACCTTATGTGCAGCCTTCTAGAGAATTCTGCATTTTGCAGCCTAGCTGATGCTCTCTGAATTTTCAAAAGGCCATTCTATCATCTTACCAGGGCAGCTGCTTTGGCATGGTGGGGAATACAGCAAGACCTGGGAATTCCATGAGTGTAGGCCCATTGTTGTACTTGTTTTACTATGAAGTGAGTTCTTTGATCAAAAGCAGCATTGTGTAGAGTACCACGACCATGGAAAAGGAATTCCCTTAAGGAATTTCATAGATGGTAGTTTTGCAGAAGCTTTGTGTACAGGAAAGACAAACTCTGTCAGGTGTCAATTCCAGTGAGAACACATAATAAAGAGGTCCAGTGTAATCAGCATGCCGCCAGAAAGCTGGCTGATTGCCCCCAGGAATACTGTTATGTTGGGAGCTCAGTGTTGGTCCCTGCTGAAGACATATTGAACACTCGAAAGTGCTTGTACCCCAGCTAACTTTGATTAGCAGAAGCCCTTGTTCTTGAGCCAGTGTGTAACCTCCATCCCTGCCACACCATGAGCAATTTGTTCATCAGCCAAGAACAAAAGGAATCTGTCACCCTCTTTTCCCAGCCCTGTTTTGATAGAGGTGGCTGGGGCAAGAGTCTCACTGCCATCTGCTGAATTAGTTAGCCTACCTCTTGATTATTAAAATCCTCCTCTGCTGAGGTCACCTTTTGATGACCATTTACATGGAACATATCTTCATGTACATTTTTGCCCATTCAGAGAAAGATATCTACTGCTTTCCAAATTTTCTTGTCAAACATCGGACCATTTTTCTTTTCAAAGAAGCCAGCAATCAGGTGCATTGCTCAAAGTTTTGCACACTGGGAAGATTTCCCCATTTTTTTTCCAGGGATATCCCAGAAAGGAGTTGGAAGGGCTGTTACTGTCCACTCTTCAATGCTGCCTATGTACATTTGCTGGTTCACACCCCAGATGACTACAATGGAACCATCTGTG